TAAAAAACAGGTTTATGGAGAAATCACAGAAACTCAACAGCTATCTGATATGACTCACATTCCTGCACTTTAGGATGTATTGCGACCATGGAAACAATAAAGCACAGCACCAGGTTTAAACTGATGAAAAACTTGTTGGTCTTGCATCCTGATGGCTAAAGAAATAAAAATTATTGAAAAACACAAGATGAGTATAGACTGGCCCTGTACAGCAACATCGGAAAAATTTGTAGTTACTTTACTTGCTTGTATAAGTGGCAGCCTGAGCATTCATTTAAAATTTCTGCTAAAAGGAGGGGCACTTATGAGAAGGAGGGTGCTTAACGAGGGGGGCCCAATTAAGATTTCTTGTCAACAAACTAAATAGAACTAAATAGAGAAAGAAAAACTAGATCATTATCCACATCCAAACATAAAATCAATAGAGTAAGTGTTTTTTGTGTTTGTTAAACAGTGGTTGGTACAGTAAAAACCTGCATATAAGAACCTAGAATTCTGGAGGTCAGGTTGAACAGGTTGTTATATTTTAGGGTAGGTTTTCACAATTCAGTTACAGTGTAATAGATACTTATTTTTCATAGGTTGTCATAGTGTAACCATAGCGAAAAATATTGTACTTCTAATACATAATGGTTTATGGAAAACATATTTCTAGTGAAAATCCAAACAAACATAAATCAAAGAAAACATAATTATACACAATAACTTTTGTCAAATGTTTCTCACACAATTAAATAGAGAATTTTGACTATCACAATTGGAGTGATTTAAAGTATTTTTCTTTCCCAGGCTGAACAGGTTCTTATTTTTGGGGGTATTTAAATACCAAATTTCAGCCTGTAGGTTCTTGAAATCACTACGTTCTTATATGGCATTACTTTGAGCCCACAGACATATAGGTTAGAGTACAGGTCACTGTACTGTGGAAAAAAATAATACTAACAGTGTCTTTCAGCCCAAATCACAATCTTAAATAGAGTTTTAGGTAAAGGGCAAACTGCTTATCTCAGTTAGTTATCAATACAGTGAGGACCTGCGCTTGTGACCTGTGGCCTGTGTTTTGTTTGTGACTGCCACTCAGAAAGATACAACTTACTTCAGTGTAAAACAGGAAAAAGCACACAACAGCAGCAATGGAAAGGATATAAATTCCACTTGTGACAATCACAAGAGCTGAAATCAAAGTCAACATTTTGATTAATTTTGTTCAGCTTTAAAAAGTGAACTATTACAAGGCTAAAAATATATATTTCAAGAAAGAAAAGTCCAAAGGTTTTTGACACTAGGACCTAGGTTAAAAGATTTCACCTGAATTTAATTTTGAACTACATGTTTAACACATTCATGGGGTGATCTTTATGGTGTACTTGTCTGAAAGATACGCATTTTGCAAGAGAAATATTATTTTATGAACGACATGGGGTGATTTTGAAGGACATGTAGTTGAGTAAAAAAAAGCAAGCTTGGCTAATAAAACAAAACATGCTAAGTTCATCCTTAGCTACATCCCTGGCACCCCTTAAATAGAATTTATTATATATAATGGTGATCTGTATGGTATATTTGTCTGAAAGCCACTCTTTTGCGCAAGAGAAAATAATATAACTTGATATTTACCAAACTAGTGAATAGCAACTTTTGCGCATTTTGATTGGCTATCGTAATTTAGAATAACCTTGGCTATTCACTGTTTTGTGACCAGAGCCAAGATGGCATCTTGATTCAAGACATTTTCGAAGACAAAATTTGTTCAATAAATGAAGCAGTTGTACAAACAAATAGTAAGAGAGTGACAAGCTTTGGCTTGTCAGTGTTTACTGGTAGGTAGAAAATTATTTTCATGCTGAATTTGCAACAAAATTGTAAAAATGCACTTTACAAAATCCTTGAAATGTTTGTGAATTGTAAACAAAGTTCCTCCTAAGTGACGTTTTAAATTTACAAAAAGTTACTTTTTTCATTAAATTTTTATCCAACTGATTTGGTGAATACTTAAACAACTATCCCCCTCAGTGTCGGTGAACAGTCCTAGATATATACCTCTATTCACCTCCCCTTGGGGGGATAGTTGAATATTATTTTAATGACCATTGTAGATGTACCTACCCCAGTACCACCTTTTGTTTCCTGTTGTCTCATACTTCTCAACCCTACAGTACAACAATTCAAACCAGCTTCAAAATTTTAAACATTTCATATTAATTTGGAAAAACCACTTTGGCTCATCAAAGGTACAGAAATTCAATGTGGCTAGAAAACTGCATTATAAACAGGATTTTGTGTACATGCAAATGCAGTTCAGTTCAGTTCAGTTTATTTCCCCCAATATTTTGACTAATGCTAGGTTACAGACTTTATAGAATTACGTTTACAGGAAAAATGTTGAGCACTATGAAATTAATATGAAACTCTGAGTAGGATGGCCAACTGAATCAGTAGGTTTTCTCGTTGGCCACCATAATACCAATTATGTTTGAAATAAAATTAATACAGGCAATGAATTTTTTTAGAAGGTTTTTCACCTGTTCGATTGTGGCCATTACTTAAGTAGTGCCGAAAGACGACAAAGCACTTTCAAAAAATAATGTGACCAGCCACCATCATGACATTATATGCAGGACAGCCGTTTTTACTTATCACTAGGTTTATTGAATAAATTATTTTAATTTAGGTATTTGGAACCTACCATGATTCACTCCAGTTGTAAGCAAAGTCAATAAGTAGAATTAACTGCAGTAGTATAAACAGATATCCACCAATCATACCAATGTACATCCATGCTGGAAAGATTAATAATAATAATAATAATAATCATCGTCATCATCATCATCATCATCATCATCATCTTTATTGCCAAAAGATAAAAGTACATATCTTTTGTTACATTCTAGTTGCCTATACACTCAATAAAAATCTACCCTAAAAATCAAACTAGTTAAACTACAAATGGATGATAGAATACTAGGTAGAAACTACCTTATCCTGCGTTTAAAAATCAGTCTATTTACATAAGATGTCATAAATCGTTCAGTATTAACCTTGGGGAGGGCACACTGTTTTTTATGCAGATTATATAGAACAGAACACAAGTTTAACATATTCACTAAAACACAACATTTTTCTGATATCCTATGCTTACAGTATGACAGATAAATAAACTACCTTGTATACAACTCATCCTAAGAAGGTAATTTCAATGACAACACTGACAAATTATTACTGATGCCCATTTTTTAACTAGCCTGCACCAAAGACCCAAATAAACCTCTGGTTAAGTCCATTGAAATTCTTGTTTTGAGTTCCCACCTGTGTACCAGGATTTGAGTGCATTGCATTATTGCAGGGGTGGATTCAGGATTTTTCTTAAGTGGGGGTGCACCACAAAGGACCTACCATTTTAACTACCATTTTCACAGTGTTAAACATAAATTCCTCCACTTTGTCTCATGTGTTACTTCAACACCACTGTACCATAATTTTTTTTCTGTAGAATACCAGTTGTATTAAAAAGCTGCAAGTCATCTAGGGAAGGGGGGGTATGCACCCCCCCCCCCCCTTCCCTACACCTGTACCCTATTTTCCTAATTTAAAATACCAAGGTCAATTTTTCCATGTTGAAGGCAAAAATCCATTAAGGGCCCAGAACAATGATCGATATTGGTGCTGCTTCCACACCTTACTAACCGGGGTTTGATATTTTCACTTGAACATTTATCATTGACATACCTGTGCCAAAGGTTCCTCTTGGGATATAAAATGCCCCCACAAGAACACCAATGAAGATTGCTATCTTCACAAACCAAAATCTGCAAAGAAAACAAAATAGGTAAAATTACAACTGCCACATAAAAACAGGATCACCTAAAAACATTAGAAGATTCTACCAAAAGTAGCAAGATTTTTTTTTTCCCCCATTATAGTAATAATAAAAACAATTAAAAGAATGGTAAATATTTGAGCAATATGAAACAAAAACAAGTGTCTCGAATGGTCTGCTCTGCCATTTTGATTTCTACTTTTTCAGGTGCATTACCTTGCAATCCTTACAAGGACCTGTGGCAAAACACAAATGGAGGACTAGTAGTTACCCAGTACATTGTAGGAGCGAGCAAAATGCATCTGCTTTAGATTTTTTCCTAAATTAACCAACACTACATTTTGCCCTAACCATAGCAGGATTAGCTCAGTTGCTAGAGTGCTTGACTGCAGAGCGGAAGGTCGTGGGTTTGATTCCTGGGGCCGGACCAATACTTAGGGTCTTAAAATAACTGAGAAATGAAGGGTACTCCCTTTGCATTGCAAGCGGCTAGACCTTTGCGTGGCTAGGATGACACAAAAATAGTGTCCCCAATTAGTACTTTCGTGCTAAATACCTTGACACTAAAATAAATTGCATTTTCTTTTCTTACAAAAGAAAGAGCTGTATAATTAATTTGAAATGAACTCACCCATTCTGGAACTTTGCTCTTGGGTCATGGCTGCTGCTAACTTTGAACATCATGACTGCCATCAACAAGAAAAATGCAGCCATAGCAAAGCAGACACGATACACAGCTAAGTAGCCCACAAGGCTGTTGCAGTTCTCAGGAACATGCTCGCAAAATTGAGGTATCTTTTCCAACTTGTCTGTGATCCCTGGAGCAAGCATTACAGCAGACAAGATAGTTCCCATTAACAGGAAAATGGTATAGACAATTCTTGAAGCTGTTGAGTTTTTGCAGGAGGGACAACGAGCACAGCAGCAGAAACATGCTGATGATCCACAGCAACAGGCAGCCTTGGTGGAGAAAAAAGGGTATACTGTAAATCATACTATTAATGTTTGACACTACAGCTGTCTGATCGTCCAGATCATCGTCAACGTTGTTGATGGTGACTGATGTTTCGACAACCTAAGCAGTAGTAATCTTTATAGTCAAATTGAGTTGTATCAGAGATGTATGGTAAATTGATGTGTATGAAAATAAAGTATAGTGTGTGTGTATGTGTAACATGTATCGCGTCAGTTGATGGTATTTAACTTTCATTAATCTGATTGGTCAATTAAGTTGTGAAGGAAGTCACAAAGTCACTTTGACTCAAACCACTCTTCAACTGTGGCAAATAATAGATGGATCGAAACACACCAATCACATTACGAGGCTTCATAGCCAAAAACATCATGGGCTAGATGACAATAACATTGACTTAAAACTACGACTTAAAACGGGATGTAAACTAGTGGGATTTTGCTACCATCTCATCGTAACTGCATGACATATTTTAGTCCTACAGAAGCGAAAATAATATTTCTTCACGAGATTAAACTAAAGCTCTTTACACAGAAATCTCATTTGGTTTGGATGTTAAAATGATGCCTACAGAAAATATACAGGAATTTAGATCAGTTAGTGCTTGGAATGTTTCTTTTGTGCACAGTTTGCATGCCAGCTTCCAAAGTGCCCAAGTGGCTGAACCAATTAACCACTGGCTGGACCAGGGGCCTTCAAATAGGAACGGTCTTTATCTACAATGCAGGATTTTTGGCAAAGCACAGAAGCTGTTGTGTTGTCACAATTTAGTTAAATGTTACGGCAACTTACAGGACAAATTTCAGTTTACTACTCTTCTTCAAAGAGAAGCAATACTAGTACTCATTTGTCTTTTTCATCTGGACCAAGGACCACATACTGTACAGTGATGCTGAGTAAGCTTCACTTAAAAAACATTGCTTGTTAAGAGTTCCATGTACGTATGTAACCCCATACATTTATTATGCAGGCAACAATTTCATAGTTTTTCTCACAAATGGTTTAACATGAATAGAGTGGAAACATGTATGCATAATAAACGTATGGGGTTATACGGAAACCTCACCCATTGCTTTAATGCGTTGTTTAACATAAGCTTTCAACTAGTTTTTATAATTTTCATTTTTTCCTTCACTAGCTAAAATTTTGAAAAGACAAAATGTTGAAGCTTTTACGCTTTTGAGGGTGTAAAACTCACTTCACCGACTAAAAATTTTGAATAAAACTCGTACCCACTCATCAACCATGAAGTATTCCCTAAATAAGCTTAAGTACTACCCTAATCGGATAAGTTTGCAGCATGATAATTTTCAATTCCAACATGGCGGATGACACTCACCACAGGAGCCAACGAACTTGCACACGAAGCGCAGGATGAAAGGGCTGCACAACTTCCCAGAGCACCTAACACTGTCCCCATCTCGTGTTTGTAAAAGAAAATTCCGCTTTAAGCACAAGATAACTGTTTAAAAGTACAATAAAGTCACAATCGCCTTTTCGTGTAGACTATTTTTGAATGACGTCACGTAGGTGGAGCAGCGAAAGGCACTATGGGTCATGATTGAAAAAAATTGTGCCAGTTCTTTCCATTTTGTTGCGATGTTTCTTCTACAACTTGTAGTCTGCAAAAATATCATAGTATCGAATTTTTGAATGTGTATATTATTCCAGATTTTTTTTTTCTATCAAAGAAATCACTACCCTGGGTGCCAGAGACTTCTAGCGCGGTTTCCGGTTTCTGTCAAGTCTTTATATATAGTGACCCGCGCTTCGCCGCTCGGCCGAAGATGTCAGCCTTCGGCCAACACTGAAAATTCCCTCTGCACGCGAGAAAAACCTCTGGTACCAAGGGTAAGAAATCACTGTTGTTATCGAATTATCTAGCCGCAACAAAGACCCCGTAAGGGACCCCATCCCCGATAAGGAAGTTTTTATGTTTACGAGCCGGCAGTTCTTCCCGCTGACAAAACAGGTGTCGATTTCTTCAGGTAACAAAATTATGATGGAGGCCGAGCTTCCGGAGGACGTGGAAGATGACGGCAGCGGAGAAAACCAAACGTTTCTCAATCAACAGCACCCTGGAAATGTGCTGTCCCGATTGCATGATCTTCGAGAGCGGGAAGAGCTCTGTGATGTTACCATTGTTGTGGAAGGAAGAGCCATAAAAGCCCACAGAGCAGTTTTGGCCGCAACGAGCCAGTACTTCAATGCCATGTTTACAAGAAAGATGAGTGAACGAAATCAAGCCAAGGTAGGCAATCCAAGGAATTTGCCTCGGTTTATGCATGCGCTCTACAAAAACCTAAGGTGTTAAATAAAGTATGAAAGTGCAGCGACCATTGAGCATGCATGTAATCGATTGTGTAATAGTTTTTCGTGGGAAACTGTTTTCTTTCCATGCAAAATTTCGCCTCCTTAATTATTTAATAATCATTATTTTTTGAAATTTATGTTACAGTGCAAATTTTGAAAGTAAATCCAAATAAATAAGCATTTCAATTAAAATTAATCCGATAAATCTCATTTGCCAAGCGTGTACAAACACACTTCGTTCACAACCGGCGTATATATCTACACGTTTGCAAATGTTGTGGTTTAGATTTAATTTCTCTTCCGAGTTCTATTTCTGTTTTCTTTCTTCTCAAATAATGTTAAAGGATCTGGGATTTAAGAAAATGAAGATTAAACTGGTCTGGTTATTCTAAAAAACGAAAGAAACAACAAGCAGTTCATGGTTACTTACATGTAACTACTATGAATAAAGCTCAAGCTTTAAATGTGTCGAGGAGCTGCACTAGACTCATAACACGTTTAACTCAAGTGCTTAATATCTTTTTTTCTGATCTTTTCCATCAACTTTGATTCATATCAGTCCAAAATTTTAATGTTCATGAATTCCCGCTAAATTTAGAATTATCGANAAAATGAAGATTAAACTGGTCTGGTTATTGTAAAAAACGAAAGAAACAACAAGCAGTTCATGGTTACTTACATGTAACTACTATGAATAAAGCTCAAGCTTTAAATGTGTCGAGGAGCTGCACTAGACTCATAACACGTTTAACTCAAGTGCTTAATATCTTTTTTTCTGATCTTTTCCATCAACTTTGATTCATATCAGTCCAAAATTTTAATGTTCATGAATTCCCGCTAAATTTAGAATTATCGATTGTTTCATGAATATACACTGTAACAAAACGTACGTTCCGGGAAGGTTTAACACAAAGATATCACCAGTCAATTCTATGCGTGGCAACCGAAAAGAAATAGTTCATTATATATGTATGACCTCGGCGTGAGATGTACCTAGCAACTCGCTGAAGATAACAAGTTTACATTTATCACTCACAGTTTGTTCGAAATTATCAATATGTTTTATCTTTCTGATTAAAAAGAAAAATACCCTCTATTGCTTTAAACATCTGCATGTTCAAAGCAGGGTTAGGGTAACCCAGGGTTAATGCAAAGTTTGAATTCAGCTTTGAATGTTAATGAAACAAACTCCCATAAATTCTATAAGCCTACAGTCTGATGTTTGAATGCACTTATTTCCAATACACTTGTGTCCGATTGTCCGGGACAGGGAGAAATTTAGTTCAGACATGTAAACCTTTGACATGACATGTCCCTGGGATAACAACATTTTTAATTAGAAAAAAAATCTGGAAACAGTTGAAATTTGACTTCAAGTTACAGTAGAATTACTCTGTTAAGAAGAATGTAACTCATTCCCAGGCTCAAATTTGAGTTGATTTATGGCGGAATCACAAAATTAAAGTCCACCAATCTCAGTCTTCATGGTTAGGTTTTCTTTCAAAGCAACCAAGAAAAGAAACAATCTTGGATGCTAGCAAAGAATTAAGTGAATCAAGAGAACATCATTAAATGCCTGATTGTTTTTGAGTATTGAGTTTTGAGCAAAACTCTGAACAAGAACTCTTGGGTTTTGGACAACCAAATTTAATATACTGCTTGTGGGTAAGAAAATGTTTCTCTCACTTGAAATAAGTTGTTAAGATTAACATAAAAAAACTTAAGGTTTTGTCGTGTATGAACAAAAGCAGCTGCAAATGAAATGGGGTCCATGATTAAAATTTGACCCAGAGTTAATGATAATCAGCCTAGGTTAAAAAATTTTAATCTAAATTTAATTTTGACCTGTAACATATATTCCATTTGTGGTTGATCATATTACTAAGAGATACAGCCGCACAAAAGCTGATAGAGCCAAGGTCAGATGAGAAAACAAGGGGGAAGAATGAAAGAAGGAAAATAAAAAGTTGTTCTTCTAGAAACTCAGATCACACCACATGTGTGTAGCCCACGCACACCACCAGGTACTGTGTGCAGAGGTCCTTCAATCTCCTTAGATAAGTCAGGAAGAGGGGGCACCCTTCCTTTTCCTTTCTTATCTAAGAAGATCGAACCCTTGAAACCCTCAGTCTACACAACATTCTGCCAGCTATGATAATAATTATCATGCAATTACTGCATTATTTATTTATTTATTTATTTATCTTATACTGCAAACCCCTTTACTCCATTAAAAACATTGCTTGATGCCAGAAATTAGCTGCCAGAGCAAAAATGTAATGACTACGGTATAAAAAATTTCCTCTAAAAACAGTTCTGTACATGTAATTGAGATTCAATGTAATCATATATGCTAACTCTCCCGGATTATCTGGGAGCCTACTGGATACGGCACTGATCTCCCGCTCTCCCGTATGGGTCACACCAAATCTCCCGGATAAAATGGACTTTTGAGCTTTTCTGTGCTTTTGTTTGAAATTTAGCCCATTTTTCCCCCGAAAATTTGAACATTTTTTATTCATTTTACAGTTTCCGGGAAATTTCTGCATGTTTCACTGACAAGATTATTTTGTCATTAAAATGATGAAAGCGAACATTGATCGCATGTACTTCATGTAAGACTTCATATAATGTCCTAAGCTGGGTCGATTTGTGGACGGCGTGGAGGTGGTGGGGCTGTTGTCATTCCAGGGAGGGGGGTGTAGTTCAAAATAGAGAGTCTCCAGATTTTAGATCTCCAGAGGTTGGCATCTCTGTGTAATTTTTATGGCATATTGTTTATTTCAGGGATCAAGTTACTCCTGATAACCTCTACATATTGATTACCTGTTGTTTGTTGTTCCAGTGGTAGCAATTATGTGGGAATAAGTATCCCCTTTTCAAGAATTTTAACGCTGACCATATTTTTTGCCGGAAGAAAACAAACTCATGAATGGAGACTCACATCAGTCATGATTTTTAGGCTGAGGACTGCAGCAACCATCTTGTGACATTTTTTTTCTCTGTATTTTTTTGTAGGTGGAGATCAAGGGAGTAGACTTTGAGTCAGCTGAAACTCTCATTAACTTTGCTTACACATCACAGCTAACCATTACAGACTCCAGTGTCCAAAATTTGTTTCTGGCAGCAGATTTGCTTCAGTTTAAATGGGTCAAGGACTCGTGTATCCAGTTTATAATGCAACAGATTGACATTGCTAATTGTGTGGGAGTGAGAGCTTTAGCAGACCGACATTCTTGTAAAGCTATGTACGAAGCAGCGACAAGATATATCATGGAGAACTTCATCAAAGTGTCTCAAACAGATGACTTTAAAGTTCTTGGTGCCAGTGAAGTGATCGAGCTCATTAGCCGGAGTGATCTTAATGTCTGTGATGAGATGGAGGTATTTAATGCGTGTGTAGCTTGGATTGAATATCACCCTGAGCACAGAAAATGTCACCTGGCAGAGTTCTTAAAAGCTGTAAGACTTCCTTTCATTTCAATGACAAATCTTCAGAAAGATGTAGCTGAACATCCATTGGTTCAAAATGATATTTACTGCCGAGATATTGTGGAGGAGGCTGTTGCTTTTCATTTTGAACAGGCTGGGATGAAGATGAGAGACTCATATGCTGAGACTGTTTACATCCTAGGCGGGGAAACATCATTTATGAAAGAAGTGAAAAGTGTTGAGAGATACAATTGTCAAACTATGCAGTGGGAGATTGTGAAATCAATGACTGAAGCGCGGGCGTCGTTTACCGTAGCAACCTTGCAGGGCAAGTTATATGTGATTGGTGGTTACAGGCGAGGTCGGAAGCTTAATTCAATGGAGTGTTACAACCCAACACAAAATGCCTGGATAAGTTTAAAGCCAATGAGCAAATGCCAGGGTGATATGCGGGCTGCTGTTCTTGATGGGTTTATTTATGTGGCAGGAGGATCCAGTGAGGGGCTGCTGACCTGTAGGTGAGTGGACTCAGTTAAAGGTTCTTGGTTCTTGTTGCCCATACGGCCGCAGCTTAAAATGGCAGCAATAGCCTTGCCAGTACCTATTTACATGTATAAACCTGGATGTGTGTGCAGTGTAGATGACTTCAAACAAATTGAGTAGTAACTATGTGCAATTGTCTTTAAAATTTGTGGTACAAATATTTAAACAATGACAGTCCTCTTTGGTTAACAAATTCGACCCTTACAATCTGTTGATAAAGATGCCATCATCTACCGATAAGAGCTGTCCAGTGAGTAAGGCTTACAGTAATAGAACTTTCCTGCATTCCTGTAAACAAAGATAACATACGGCAAGATTTAAGTTAATGATAATCGTCAAATCCTTGATTGTAGCCTGGGAGCAGGCTCGTTTGTGCAAGTTCGAGGAGGCAGAGCTGCCAGCGTGAGTCAGCAAAGCTGGCAACAAGAATGGGGCAGGGAAATGTGAGCTAGTATGCGGGCCATTGATTATTGAATTTCGCATCTTTTGAGGTGTCTGGTGTTCCTGTGGCACTATGGCAGAAATTTTTGAGCTATCATGGGCGACTGAAAATTAGCCGCCCCTATTAATTTTATCAGGGGCACCTCGGCCGGGAAACTGGACTCCTTCCAACTCAATTTCGTTTCCGTAACTTTTCGTAAGTGTCGAACGCGGATCCGTAATCAATGATTACCTCAAGCATACGCTCCTAATGGTATTTTTGAAATTTCTGCAGCTATGTTGAACGCTACTCACCCATCACAGAAAGCTGGCAAGTCATGTCTAACATGCAGCGTCAGAGACGTCGTTTTGCTCTGGCTGTGCTGAACAATCATATTTATGCAGTGGGAGGGTTTGATGATAGTAAAGGTGATCTTAAACATGTTGAATGCTACGATCCAGCCAGCACCACTTGGACAGAGGTAAAACCAATGCAGTGTTGTAGATATGACTTTGGTGCAGTGCCGCTGTCGGGGTACCTCTATGCGGTAGGAGGAGCAAATGGAAGGCGGGGCTCACTGAACACTGTGGAACGTTTTGATCCAGAAACAAATGAGTGGTCAATCGTTGCGCCTTTAAAGCATTGCCGAGGTGGACTATCCGTCACTGTGCACTGTGGCAAAATCTTTGCCATGAATGGAATGAATGAGTACATGTCTATCGTGGATACCACGGAGAGTTATGATGAAGTACAAGACCGATGGAGCAGTCTGTCTGCTTGTACGCACACTGCAAGGTTCAGTGCCGCTGCTATTGTATACCGGCCAGTAATTCCGTTGCACACGAAGAAGATGAATCACAGTAATACTTCGTGTCATGATCACAATGACGGGAATAGTTAGCCCTGATTCTTTTCTACCCCTAGAGGGGGGGACTCGCATATGAGTCGAACATGCCTGATAGGGAATAGGGAGGGGGAGGAAAAAGCCTCCCATTTCCCTTCATTTTAGCCTGCTTACCAGGCGTTATTTTTTTCGCGTTTTCCAGGCGAGCGAAAGCAAGCGCTAAGCGAGCTAGGAGCACCAGGCATCCCCGTCATGCGTGTCTCGTGCGTGTCTCGTGTCTGCCGGGCACTCTGCGCTTGTTTTCGCTCGCCTGGAAAACGCAAAAAAATAACGCCTGTTCTGAAGGTTACCTTACTTTGCTGCCCCTTTTAACGCCTTCTACGCAGGCTGCTTTGAAGTTTTTTACTGGAAAATTTGAGTTTTACTTTTGAAGAAGGTCAATCCTAGAGTACAAGAACTCACTCATTGTCCTCAAGAATTGTTTAGTGAGCGAGATTCGCGTGCGCTCGTGAAAATCGCCTGACGCGATGAAATCGACTCTTGCAATTGTACATAAAAGAAAAATTTATCCCAAGTCCCCAAAATTAAAGCACTATTACTAATAACTGGCGAGGGGTGTCATTCAAACAGTGTTTTGTCTACGCTGTCAGAACTAAGAATTACATTGCAGTGAGGGGGGTATTGGGGCCTATTGAAAACACTGAGGAAAGTCGCACAAAAAAAGGCGAAATCTACAAACCGCACAATCGAAGTCGGTGGACATAAACAATCCGTAAACGTGCCGTGGATGTTCTAGTTTGCACTGAATAGAACTTTTAGAAAAAGTAATTGTAACTGGAACTTTTGCAGTAATTGTACCTTAAGAAACAAATCAGTAACCCGTAAAAAGCCTGAAAAAACAGCCGACATTTGGCGACGCTACCACTGGCTTTCCCGCGAATTGACGTCTCAGAAACGAACGGAGAAATTCCATACTAATGACGCGTCACTATTCAGATCTGGGTAGTGCTTATGATTGGTCGTGCCGCGTAGGAAATCTGCCTCAGCTGATCAGAAGCACTACCCAGAACTGGGTAGTGACGCGTCATCAGTGTGGAATTTCTGGGCTCAGACGTCATTTTTGCGGGGAAACCAGCGGTGGCGTCGAAATGTTGGCTGATTTAAAACCATTGTGTCTCGTAAAATGATCCTTTATTTTTTTTTACAATTCTTTGATATAACACTGAACGACGATACCAACTGATACCAAGTTGATGACTATTTTGGTAGAGGTATTAACATCGGAGACATCACTGTTGACAAACATTGTTTTTTTATTCAGTCAAATTTGTTACGAGTGACACAAAAGAATTTTTTGTCCCAAGAACCAATGCGCCTCAGGTTGGCACATTAATATCAGTAGGTGACGTCAGCCTGAGTATCACTATAAGAAAATGTTAACAAATTTATAAAAAAAACTTGAGACAAATATGCACTTATCTTTTAACAGTTCAACTTGGGAGTATACACAACTCGAAATGTAAATACGAATTAAATAAAGATGAGTACAAATGCATCTCAGACTCTGCTCGATTTCAGTCAAATGCTTTTGACGAACACCGCTATGAAGTACTAGTCTGATCCGCAGTTGTTTTTTTTGTGTGTGTGTGTGTCGTCTCACAGAATGGGCAGGAGTATTGCTGTATGGACTGTCCGACAAAAAGTGTGGCCTTTGAAGAGAGGTGGCGGGCGCGTTAGGGTAGGTGCCACTCTACTTTCATAAATGGGACAAAAATTAACCTTAACTATAACTGAATAAGTACTATCGCAAATCCCTCCACCTCAGTTCAAGACGATGTCAGAGCGGACTTAAAAAAGTTGAGATTTGTCTCATCCTTGACCGTGGAGGATCCAGGTGAGGGGCCCGGGGGGGGCCTGCCCCCCTCTCCCCCTTATTTTTAGACCAAACTGAGGCCCGAAGAGCAGAGAAAAAATTTTTTTGAGACTAACCCCTCCCCTATTTCAGGGTCTGGATGACCCCTCC